CGCTCGTTCTGGAGACTTCCGCGGCTCACTTTTTAAGGAAGTCTCGTACAAAGCGCTCGTTCTGGAGACTTCCGCGGCTCACTTTTGGAGGAAGTCTCGTACGAAACACTCATTTTCACTAGCAAATACTACCTTCGAAGCACTACCGAATGATGCAGGTTCCAAAATGAGCCGCGAAATTGGTCTCACGCTGCAGTGCCGGTGAGTTTTCTTTTCGTCTGGGTTCCAAAATGAGCCAGGTTCCAAAATGAGCCGTTTCTAGGTTCCAAAATGAGCCGTGTACCCTCTGCCACGTGTGCCTGCGTGTCTCAGCTTGCCAGTCATTTGGTCAAGCGGATGATGATGAAGCTGATGATGATGAAGCCGCCGCTCTAGAGAATTTGCATGCCACCGGTTCAATCCAAAGCCCCGGCTAAGCCAAACAATGACCAAATACTGCCATTACAGGAAAAAACAACACAAGGCTTTGATGGTCTTCCTGCCGTTCTGATTGATTTGCAACTTGTTACTGCCCAGCTCCCCATAGTTGGCGTTCATGCGAGGTTTCACTCAGAAGACCACCCGTGCGCCGGACAAGCTTCGCGGCTGGCGCACGAAGCCAGGAGATCAAGTCAGTGTACCGAATGGGCAACACCTACTCGCCACATGGTGAGGACGACTTGTGAACGTCAACCCACGGCCCACGGCGCTTGGTAAACTAAGACCGAGGGCCAGGGCTGGATGCACATCAGCGGTGTGGCGGTTGCTGATGGCTTAAAGCCCTTACCCTCCCGCAAACTAACATGGAACCTGAGAATTGACCGGTGGTTTCGACCATTTTCCTCAGTGGTTTTGGTGTTCCATGTGGTCCTCTGCAAGGAAGTCGTTTTTTATCAACAGTGCCGGTCATAGGTAGACTGAGACGGTCCCGCAAGCGGGCCCTAGGTTTGATTCTGAACGGGCCGCTGCCCCTTGCGGTGAGAAAGCTTTGTAGTGATGTTCGTGGCTTAAGTCTAGGCCTTTGCAATAGACCGTAGGAGACCACGCCTGGAAGCATAGCTACCTCGAAAGCCGGGAAAAAAGGGGATGCGGTCTGCCTGACCTGAGTGACTTGAAGGGAAGCCTTTCAATTCACTGCCTTTGGATGCTGCAGCATGTTCCGTTGCATGTACAGTGTACAGGCCTTCATCCAGACCAGGAAAATCGGAGGCCTGTGCGACTTCAGTCGGAGGGTGATCAGTTCTGATAAGACCTCTTCATGTCGGTGGCTTGGCATATGTATTTATTGGTTCAACACTCTGAGGTGAGTTTGGCGCCTTCTTAAGCCCCATGGGATCACCGAAGAGCTCCCGAGACTACACAGCCCAGACCCGCCGCGCTCGACCGTCCGGCCAGCCCTGAGGCGTGGCTTGATGATCTTCAAGAAGAAGTTCCGAGACTTTGCCCGCAGTGGGTGTTCCAGTCAGCAGTGATCTGAAAAGAACAACACCAGATACATCCAGATACCCAAGAGGATGTCAGGGGTGTTGGGGCCCATGGTTAGACCCTGGAAGCCGGAGAGCCCAAACCCGTATGGTCAATGCCCACGCCATGAATAGGATGTGTCCTTTCGGTTCTGCAGGGAAGAAAGGCGCTGACAATAAGAGAGTCCCTTCGTACCCAGTCCTAAGGGATCTTAAGGGATTAAGGGTCATACAAGCAAAGTAAGGCAAATATATGCAAATGAATGCAAATGATATATAATATAGCTCAAAATATCATGACATATCGACAGAGCTTCGCTGGAGTGAATCTTCGAAGGCTCTCTCACCTGCCACATTCCTACGCACGTGTCTATATCACTTTATAAACGAGGTTCGCAAAAACAGCATGAATCGCTCACAGAGACGCACACCTTCCCCATTACGGACGTCGCCCCGTTGGACGGACGTCCGTCCGACGGACAGTCCGCGGCGCGACCAGGACGGGTCTTCTACGTGCCTGGCAACCATGACCGCCGGCAGCGGGTTGGATCCGTAGACCCGACCGTTCCACGGGTTGGATCAGACCCGAGTCTGATGATATGACCCTTCACTCATATGCCTAACTAATATACAGTGCATAGTGCATATATATATATACATGGTTTGGGCGCTGGATGTGTTTCATGCCCTACTTTCGGATGAAGACCTGCAGATCAGAAGGGATGGAAAAGCTATGATCACCTATAGAGGATTTCAGGTGACTTCAGCAGAAGACTGCATAAATAGAGCTCCACACACTCCCAGAGTCCCCTCACGATCTGATGCGGCTCCACGACCCGATCCAGTCTGATCCTCGCTACCATGTCGACCAAGAACCAGGCAGCGTCAGTCATGAGATGCCTTCCTTTTGGGGGAGCAATCGTACGAATCAGTTTTAGTCGATTGAGAAGTTGTTGGGTGTGGTTTGATGTGGTTTGTGATGTCCAATGCACCTTGCCCATACGTGGGAAGGCATGGTGGACATGTTGTTGGAACAACTCCTATAACGCAGTAGAGCCCAGCATAGGCTGAAGTTGCATTGTTTTGAATTCCCGAGGTGCAAGTTCGAACTCCCAAAGCAGGTGTCGAAGGGGTTCCGGCTTCCAAGCATCCTCCGGCCCTTTGCCAACATAGCAACAACGGGGATGAGAACATGATTTCATCCAGATTGTTGCTATGTTTGCTTCGTCACCACAGGAGAAAAAAGAAGAACCAACTCTTTTTGCTGGCGTTTTCCCCCAAGATCCGTGTCATTTGGGTCGAAGAAAGACATGTTGGCAGATGTCCCCAAACAATGCTTGCAGTTGCAGGGCAGAGTCTACTGAGGGGAAGCAGATGCAGACGGCCCATGTTTGCGCTTCCGGTGAGGACATGTGGATCCGGCCCAACACAGATGATTCCACCAAGCGGAAGTTCAAGGAGTGGACTCATGATGACGGCGGCATTGTTTGATTTGATATACAGAAGGACCTAGGTGTTGGAAGGTAGTGGAATTGGTTGAGTACTTTGAACGTTTAATTGCGTATATGTATGGTAACCTTTGCGGACTGACTGTTTAGAGATGAGCAAGCAATATCAAACGATCAAGCACAATTGGCAATTGGTATACTAGCCTGTGTTTGTTCTTTTTCGAGCAGATAAAGCTGATAGGCTTGGAAGAACAACACGAGAGACAGAGAGTTGTAAAGGGGGCACACTAGGATTCACATGGTTTTCCCACTTCGATGGCCTGAACCAAGTGGTGGACATGGTCGGCGTTCCACCTGGCTCGGGAGTCCGAAATCCTTAAGCAGCCGAAGCAGTCCTGGGGGCCTGAAGCAATTGGTTGGATGAATGGAAGGAGGGGGTTGGCCCTGAGGATCAAGGGTCCCTCATTGACTCAAAGGGATGCGAGGGTTTGGGACCGTACTACGTACTTATCAGGGTCCAGGAGCGTTGGGGTCGCGTGGTTCTTCACTCCTTTTCACTTGTTGGTGTTGGATTTTTCCTGCAGATGCAGCATGCGTTGCGTCGTTTCCGGGGGCGCTTTCAAGCCAGCAGCGGCGCGAGACGAGTCTTTGGAACCGAAGGCAGCCATAGGTTCCATAGCTTCTGAGAGCCGCGCAAAAAGGATTTTCTTGGACCAGTGGCAACCAGAATTGTAAGATGTCAAAAAACCTGGTTGTTTAACATGGCTTCACATGAACGGTGGGCATCACGTCTCTATATTGTGGGGCAAGATCATCCAGGGAACATGTTTCCCAGCATGCCCTACAACACAAGTTCACAAACTTTTTGTTTGCCTATAATGAGGAAATTCTCCAAATCAGATGGCCAAAGGACTTTTTACGCCAATGGCAGGTCCTCCTGACCCACAGGCTGTGACGATGGCTTCTGACTTAGTCACTTGATACATCTTGATACCGAGACCTCCCTGGGCTCCAGTTGAAACCGCCCCGCAGGTCCCAACCGCCCGTTGGATTCGACCCGTGCAGCTCGCCGGCGAGCTGCGCGTCCCACGTCCTCGTCCTCGATGATGCGCATCGCATGAGCCGTGAGACGCCGTGAGACGCCGTGAGAGAACCATGCGCCCCGCAGATGGAGTCGGAGGCCGTCCGCCTCCCACGTTGCTGGGCTCCACGGCGGGGATCGCGTCCAAGGCCAAGGCGACGAGGTGGCAAGAGGCTCAGCGATCTAAGTCAGGTCACGTTTTTTTTGGATCTTTTTTGGACCCTTGTGCTGAGAGGCGTTCTCAATTGGCACTAGCACGTTATAAGGTTTGCATTGGCTGGCACAAAAGGGGTTAGGGTTTGCATGGCCCTTGCTTGAGCAAGTGAGGAGGCGCTGCACATCTTTGCACTCATGTCGGAAGCCAAGCTGCAACAAGATGTGATCAGCTTGAGTGCGGCCATCAGTGCATATGAGAAGGGCAGCCGCTGGCGAGACTCGCTATGGTTCTTTCAGGCTCCCTTGATCGAACAAGAGTGGAGCACTGTACGAATGGTCCAAGCAGCCACCTCCGTCAAGCAATGTCAAGCATGTGTTTTTTCCTGACAGTTTGCACCATGGCTTGAGCAACTGACACCAAGTAAAAGCTGTAGAAGCAACGAGAATCAAGTAGCCAGACAGGCACTCATGACTCATAACATCTCAAAACTGTATACCCCGCAAAGACGAACATCAACGCTGCTGGCCGCTGGAGGGGAAAGAACACATGCCTTTTACTGCTGTGGGACTGGGGTCCTCACCGAGACATTCCAAGCCTCGTTCCAACAAACCAGCTTCCCATGCCCTGGAAAGAAAAGGCGCAGTCATGCTGTAAGGGGTGAGGAACCTCGATGGAAGTGTAGGTCTTGTGTGGTTTTGCCATGGTTTGCTGACTAGAATATCGGACTGAGATAGAGGGAAGATGAGGGAAGCTTTGTCGCTTTCATTTGTGGACCTCATTCGGTAGGCGATGAGCAGCTGGGGACTTCTGCCCAATGTCGTTGCCTTCAACACGGCAATGAGCTCGTGTGACAAGGGTCGCCGGACGGCAAGATTCTGGGTGCTTGATTCTGTGGCAAGAAATCACCACATGGAGACTTCACAGCTCAAAATGCTAGGCTAGCAGTTCCAGGCCGGAATGAGTGGAAAATGAGAACCCCTATCCTCCAATACGCACCCCTTTGGAACTGCTGGTGTGAGCACTTTATTGTTTTTGGGCTTGGTGGATGGTGTTTTAGGCCTGTTTACCCCACACTTCCCCAAACAGCGGCCATCAGTGCGTGTGAAAAAAAAGCAATGGCGGCAGAGAGGGGCTTTGCTTATTTGGTGAGTTTGGCCAGAATTCAGTGGGCGCTGATCTCTCCCACTGCTGTGTCTCAGGTTAGTTAGATGGGAGGAGTGCAGCATACACAAATTCAAGATTATGTCATATTATGTCCAGGTTGTCCTGTTCCTTACGCTGTGTATCTCTTCGTTGTTTCTCACTTTGGCCCACTCCAAGGCAACCGTTGGCCTTCAGCCTTGAGTCTTTCGCAGGTCATGCAACTCAGCGGAGTAGAAGCGACGGTCATCAGCTTCTCCGTTTTGGTCAGCGCGTCCTCCACGTCCAGCTGGCGGAAGGCCTTTTCGTGCCTGTTCGAGGTCATTCAGTCGACGATGAGGCCCAACGTGATCACCTTCAATGCTGCCATCAGCTCATGTCGCTCGGATGAATGCAGACGCCATGGGGGTTCGAAAAAGATACGTTCCCCTCCTGGTTCTGTATCATGCCTTGTTTCTTACATCTAGCGCAGAAGCAAACGAAGGGAGCCTGGCCACTGCAGTGCAGGGCAACATCCTGTGCTAAGATAGGGGAGCAGCTTTGGTCATTTCAGGCTGTAGATGACAGAGGCTGACAGCGTGAGTAGATTCAACAGAAAAAAGGATGCCCTCCCTTCAACAAACATGGAAGTGGCACAAGGCCCCTTGGAAGACTGCTTTCCTCTACTGGCTGGGGCCAGGGGTTTTCCACTTCCGTGATTGTTTCAAGGACAGGAGAAGAAGAACATCCCACAGATGGTTTTTGCCAAGCACCATCCTCTAAGACTCTAAGCCATTCTTTTTCAGCACGGTGCCCATCCTGTGCCAATGATGGACGGAATCGAACAAAACCCCCAGGAGTGGTTTCGAACCATGACTGGACACAATGAGTGGAGATGTGGAGAGCTGATTTCAGATGCGGAGCGCTGATTCCGAAGTGACCTTTTAAGATTCTAAAAACCCTCCCGGCGGTGCCTCTATGGAGGACTCCTGGATCCCTGGATCCATGCATTGGGTTTGCCCTCCCTGTAAGAGAGTCGGTAAAAAAGTAAATTACAATTCTAGAGAAAGGCCTTAACTAACCACCATCATCCACTGTTACTGGTAATGGGGTAGACCCAATCTATGCGTGTTTAGGCGAGCTTAAACTCGGGTCTGAAGCTGCAGTGGTTTTGTGCTTGAACCCTAGATCCTGGCCACGTACATAAGGTGCCAACTTGGCAGCAAACTGCTTTCGCACTTAGATGCTGCGTCAGTATCTGTCGGCATGAATGTCTACTGAATCTCCTTCCGGGGAATATTTTGTTGGTTTTCCAGCAAATCCATGAGTACCGTATTCTTGATGAAGCCCCTCGATGCACCTCGCACCTCTCCTAGGTGAGAAGGCCTTGAAGTGGCCTTCAGTTTTGGGCGCGTTGGAGTTCATGAGTGGCTTCGAGGCTTTGCCAGATGTCATCAGCTTGAACGCAGCAATGAGTGCTTGTGAAAAGGCTGGACAAGATCTAATGGCATTGCACTTGTTCAGGTGGGACAGGGCCAAACACATTGGAACACTCCGAAGCAAAGTCACGAGTGATCAAGCTACTTTGGGGGGAGGTCGTTTGACAAGTAGCCAGCAGCCTAAACAAACGATCTTGATGATCTATCTTGGGTGTCCCAGAAAGATGTTTTTTTAGGGTTGTATAGAGAAGAGAAAGGATGGCCCTTTGTCCTTGTGTGGGCCAGGAAAGAACACAAGTCTGTCTTCGAGTGCCGACCGGTTTTGCAGTGCTGACCACAATGTTTATGCATTAGGGCACGGAGACCCTGCACTTGCACGGAGACCCCCCACTCTTGCCTCCCAAAATAGATCAACATAGGACACACGCACTGTATCACACCGTGGTTGAGGGGGACCCTATTGAAACACACACACACACACAAACACGCACACCCATTCCAAGAAGGGCCTGACACATATGATGACATCATGTGGTGGCCATTTTCACATGTTTTCAGTTTTCACCCTCTTTTCCTATCCTGATTTTGCTTAGGGTGTTTATTCTCCCCATGGGTGAATTCCCTTCAGGGGAATATGTTATATAATATATGTTTACACTATTTCCCCGTTCCTTGAGCAAGCCCGGTCGCTATGCTTCTCCTGGCCGAGGTCGATACCCACCCGGCTGCTGAAGCCCAATGTGATCAGCTTCAGTGCAGTCATGAGTGCCTGCGAGAAGACGCGTCAGTGGCAGCAGCTCGATTGTGCTTTGGATTCCTTGTTGTTGTTGTTGTGGTGGCTGTACCTAGTTGTTGGTGTTGGTGTTGTTGTTTCTTTGTTGTTTTCCTCCATCCCTGTGGTCCCCATTCTGGAATAGTGTTTGTTTGGCATTGACTTTGGGCCATAATCGCCGATGGTAGAAATCACCAGTCAGGCAGGCGTTGATCTTGTTCCAGGACATGTTGGCAGCCAAGATCCAGCCCGACATCATCAGTTCCTCAAAGCATCGCTGGGCATGGGTCAAAGGCCGTTGGCACCTCCAATGGTACTAGATGAGATTTTGATCCACTGCTTTGGGATGCGTTGGGTATTGTTATGTGTTTCATGCTGATGCTTTAAAACACGTACTAGATTGGTTTGGGCCTCAGAATGTGAAGATTTATAAGGAGACTCGGGGTAGTTGGACGGTTGTGCCTACTGTGCACAGACCGTACAGTGCGTAGAGTACTGCCTTAAGTATCCCAAAAAGGGTAATTTTGTTGCTATATGATCAGCAGCAGCAGGAGCACTGCGACCTTTTTAGAGAATCTAAATGTGTTTTTCCTCCCAGCTGTTTGCTTTGCTGGCTGGTGCTCCGAATGAGGGACATCATGCCAAAGTGATTGGACATTCCTAAGGATTGCTGTCGAGTTAGGGTCAGCCACCCTACCCCGCATCCTGCCTGAACTAGGCAGTTTCCCGACATTTATACAGTTGTTTTTCGGAGACATGGCCAGTCCAAGGCTATGGGGCCATCATCAGTTGCTGCGAGAAGGGCGGAAAGTGGCAGTAGCTGACCGAAATGGAAGGGACAGGAATGACCCCCAAGATGGGTGACAGAGATGGGTCGATAGGAGAGTGGAAAACAAGGATTCCAAGATGCAGCATCTCTACTTTTCGCTGAGTCGATATGCACGTAAGACATGTTTTTCACTGTGGCTCACATGTTTTTTTGATGCCAAAAGTCGGTGCTAAGGAGTTTATACAAAATGGCAACACTAGTTTTGTGAGGATAGACTGATAGATGTTAAAAGCAAATTATGAAGCGGCACGCAAGAGAATACTCCAAAACACAAGCTAGGCGCTAGCGTGGCGCTTGTGGTGCGCCAGTGCTTCTTTGAACCTGCTTTTGATTGCTAGAAGCCATTTGCTTGGACCACATGTTTAATCTGCGATGTGCAGTTTCATAGGGCTAGCAGGAGCAAGGACACAACTTCAAATGGTTGGCATGTTGCAGTATTCCTAGTGATCTTGCTTTGTTCATTTTCACACCTTATTTTTTCCAGGGCTAAACCAGGTAAATGTTCGAGACTTTTCGCGCTAGGCTCGCGCTAGCTCCGCGCTATCAGAAATTGCTGAAATGTGTGCCCGGCAGTGCACGGCCCAAATGACGGACCCAATAGTGTGAGAACAAAATGCGCGCAACGCTCCTAGGCAAAGTATGAGCGGCACTTGACAAACGCCAAAGCCCACACGAGTCGGCAGAGCAAACAGCTCAAGATAGCTCAAGCAAATGCAGCAAAGCAACAGGACAGAGAGCAGCTCATCTAGCAGTGCCGACGGCAGCTCTAGCCAGCTTAGGTACAAAAGCACGCGCTAGTGTATTTTGCTGGGAAACGAACACGGCCATACCATAACACAAATGTTCACCGTGAGTGCAAGTTTTATGGAAATCATTAAGCGGCACGCAAGGATTTCTGAATTCGCGCCGTTTTCAGGAACAATACTTTAGTCAACCAAACATGTGTTTACGAGTTTGCCATCGTTTACCCACTTTTTGTGTGGCAGAAGGCCTGTTCCTATATTATATTAGTCCTGTTCCTTTACAACAGACAGTTTTGCAATTCTAGAATTTTGAGTGGATGAATTTTATAGTGATTCTTTACTACTGGACCGTGCTTCCGCTGCCAAACGTGGATGAGTATGGACGAGCGTGTGGCAATTGCCAGTTTTCTTTGTTGTGTTACATGTTTTGGCATGTATGGAGTTTGTGCCCAAATTGAGTGTCGGTTTGGGGTATAGCTTCCCCAAAGAGAGTCTCAGCTTTGATCCTCAGCCAGGTATGCCTTGAGCCTTTTTGACCACATGCTCCAATCAGCCATCCGCCCCAGCATCATCAGTTTGAGTGCAGCCACCAGCGCTTGCGAGAACTCGGGGTGTTGGCGAGAGGCACTGCAGCTCTTTCAGATAGCCTTAGAGTCCCATCTCCGCGTCGATGTGATCATTCTCAGCGCAGCGATCAGCTCCTCGCAGCCAGTCGGAAGGTCGCCTTTCTTCACCTGTGATTGGGGGTTCCCCAACCTCAGAACGAAGCAATGGAAAAAGGTAGAGTTTGTTCTATGGGCAACTGATGGGTCCTTCTATATATTCCTTCTCCGGTTCGGAGAAGGGTGAGCCGGACGTGGGCCCAGAACCGCGCCGGTTCGCCGCGCCAAACCTGGCCTTCCGAGCCAAGCCACCCAGCACCTGGCCTTCCGAGCTCGGTGATGTTTTGGGGGGGATGGTCTACTCTAGCTTCCTTCACTACAAAAAGAGCTCCAATCGGGTACCTCCTATTTTATTATTTAATATTATTTATAATGTTGGTCGCCATTTATTTTATCTTAACCGCTGTAGCGACCAACCTATCACTTCGCGAACGTGGTAAGCCCGGAATTGGGAAGCCCCGCCACTCGTTGGACCCAAAAGTGCATGTGTTTCGAGGTGGTTGAAAACCCAAACTGATTGGCCGCCAAAACAGATTGCTGAAGTAGGGCACTCAAGTTGCCAACAAATCAAGCAAAAGTGCTCGCAGTTTTAGGCACTGCATGTTCGAAAAGGTGACAATACCCATCCGAGCATGGTTACAATTATAAATCTATTTTCTATGTTACTTTAGGGTCATGAAGAGAGTAGAATGCATGTACCTGTTCCATACATGGAGCGTATATGAGCAACCTGATTTATTTACGCAAAGGTATTTAGTAAAGGACCCGACATTGGCATTGCAGAATTTGCATTTTACTTGGAAAGCGATAATACACTCATCAAAAAACGATAACATATTGATAGCATCATGTTTTATTATAGGAAAGCGTAGTCTGCATAGCTGCAGTACAGCTTTTTAACCAGAAGACCATCAGGGAACCTCGTTTCTGCTTAGTGTAGCCTTTCCCAAAGCCGTATTTGACGTCGGACTTTGGCGACAGGTTTGTCCGAAATGTAGCTGTAGTCAAACGATAACCTAAACGATAACCAAACGATAACGTAAATGTAGACGAACCTGTGCTACGAAACCAGTGCCCCACTTGTATCTGAAACATATCTTCCAAACAAGCTCAAGACATGGCTGGTCTACTACTACTACTACTACTACCACTACTACCACTACTACCACTACCACCACCACTACTACCACTACCACTACCACTACCACTACCACTACCACTACCACCACTGCTACAACAACAACAACAACTACTACTACCACTACCACTACGACTAACACTACGACTACTACTACTGCTACTGCTACTGCTACTACTACTACTACTACTACTACTACTGCTAGTACTCCTGCTGCTACCACTTCTACTCCTACTGCTACTGCTACTACTGCCCCCACCAAACGGCGACAAGTCAAAAACAATGCTGGGGCTGTGTGTAGCGATGCCACCATAGAAGGCGATACCCATGACCTTACCACACAGAAGGAGTTTTGACCGTCGCACGTCTGCTTCCATGTCCAAACAGTCTGCTGCATTGTGAAAACAACCTTTAACCTAAGTAAGGTTCAAAACGTGGAAAACGATAATACACTCATCAAGTTGAAATGTGCAAGGCCCACATAACAAATAAACAGCGTCGCTCATATCCTTCTTCTTGTACTTGTTCTTTGTGTTTGGTTCAGTTTACTGAAGTCCGCGCCACTTTGAAGAGGAACGCACTCCTGACCTGGAGCTCTCCATACCTGTTCTTATGGACTGATAGAACATCACCCCATCAAAACACATGCACCAGCAGTTCCATTTTCGGAAAACGGCCGTCACTGGTTGCTGATACCCATTTCCTTCTTGGGACCCTGAGCCCCCTTTGGGTGTCTTGGGATCAAAACCTCACCAATCTAAGCGCGAGGTTCCTGCGAGAAGGGGTGCGAATGGCAGCAAGCACTGGTTCTTGTTGAGTCCATGTCAAGCCTGGAAGTGCAACCCAATGTCATCAGTTGCTTTTCGGCACTGAGAGTCAGTTGCTTTTCGCATGGAACAATCTCACCATATATGTTTCGCTGCCCCAATCAATGGCTTTCGGAAGCTGTGGATTTTGGACAAAGCCAGGATGAGGAGCTAGGGCCTAACGGGGGGTGGGTAATCCATTATGAATCAGGAGCCGAGGACCTTACTTCACAACCTGTGTCACTCATTTCACAGCGACATGCTGGAATTGTCAGTCTCAGTGTCAATCTGGTTTTGGAAAACGCAAAGTGAGGCTTCAATGCTGCACTGGGCGCTTGTGAGAGAGCAGGCCAATGGCAAAAGGCCCTAAGGCTCTTCGAAGACATCGCGGCGACTTGGCTGTGCTCTGTCAAGGCGCCACCCGCTAAGTAAACCCCTCGGAATCTGGAAGAAACCAAATCCGGAAACATGTATTAACATCCCAGGACCCTCCAAGGGGTGCCCAATGGAAGCCTATAGGTAGTGTGGGGTAGTCCAGCCAGGACACCCCTTGGAGGGTCCAGGTCTATGCCCTAAAAGTCCAAAGACCCAGGTTACGAGCCTGGTGTTTTAGCTCCTTGAATCGTGTTTTTGTATGACCAACTTCAGTAAAATGAGGTCATTGACTTGTAGGGTATATACCTACAAGTAAGTAGTGATTCAGTGTTAAGTGCGACTTTCTGGGAGAGCTGGATCCCCCAAAACCATCATGCACATAGTTCAGATGAATTCCAAGTTTACGAACATCCAAGAGGTAGGTAGGGCCACGGGGTTCCGCTCTAGCTGAGATGTTGAAGATCAGGGACCACCTGGTGTTTTTCACCGATTTGGTCCGTCCAAGATGTCTCGAGCCACGCCATGCTCCAAGGCTTTTGCTCTTGAGCCCACCATCCTCAGCCTCGAGACCGCCACCCGCGCAGTAGAGCAGAGCTCCGCGCTGTGCGGCCGTGCGGCCTTGGCCCAATGGCTGGACGAGTCTGAAAGACACTTCGTGCAGCTCTTGGCGGCCTGAGCGTGTGGGAAAGCGACGCCGGTTGAGTCAACGTCGGATCAACGGTAGGCTCAGGTGGACCGTTGATGAATAAAGCCGCTCATATATGGAGATGTAAATGAAGATATTCAAGAATTAGTAGGTGGATTTTATTCATCAACAGTCTACATGACGTTTCTGCAGGCAGATTCCCTTTTCATCCCCTCCAATGAGGCTCGGATCAGCCGGATCCATCCATTTTCCGTGCTCAGGCGCTCCAGGCACACCTGTTGCTCCAGGCGCTTCCAATTGTTTGAAGAGCGAATGCTCCGGTCTCTCATGGCTGGCCTGGAGCTTCTCACAGCCAAGGATTGAAAGATGGAGTAAGCTTTCTCTAGGCCTCGAGAAGCCTAGCCAGTTTGTGGCTGACCTTTAATCGTTTGGAGGATCAGTGTCTTGAATAGGAGAAATCGGCGATCAGTTGGGGCGTACTCGTGTACATCCAGTGGAAAGAGGTGATTGTCCTCATGTAAGTTAAAAGCCTTTCCTGGTTGCTTTTGGTCCTGCTTGGGGCGGACCCAGGACCCCTCCGGACTCTTTTCACGTTCGCAGCACTCGCCAGAAGACCCGCCGTGTCCGAATGAGTGGAAACGAATGCATCCTACATGGTCGGCATTTGACCACATATACAGGAATAAGGGCGGCTTAGGTTGAAACAGTTGCGTGACGCAAGGTTGATAGCAAACATGTCATGTCACTGGCTGCAACATGTTCCAATGCTTCTGAAGTCCTTGTGCAAATGAGCAAGTCGCCGTTTGCAGATCAGGTCGATCCCGTTTCAAACACGCTGTTCGCATTGCAATGGATCTATATACTATATTTATATGTATATGTTCGAAGGACTTTCTTCATGTGGTAGCTCTTCTTGTGTTGGTTTGGCCAATGCTGGCGAAACACGGTCCAGTTCCCCACTTGATCAACTTGGAATGTAATTTGGTTTCCACCAAATACCCTGGACCAAGTGATGATGCGGATGATGCAGATCTCCTGGTCGATGCCATGTTTTCACGTCCACGAATCGAACACCGCGGTGAAAACCGCGGCCTCGGTCGCCCGTTTTCGTATCAAACCAATCCAACAAAGACTGGTTCGTGCGCGGAAACGGAGGACTCCATCGACAAGCTGTTGGCCATGTTGGAGATGTGTGCCTTGGAGGGCCCGGAGGGAACCAGGAGCTTTTTCAATGGGCGGCATGGATGGAAGGGGCATAAGAAACGAGCGAAGAGGCCGGAGATGGAGGGCAGAGATGGGCACTCTCCAGATGGAAGAGACCATTTTTGCACAGCTAGTTACTAGTTTGGAGTGGTGGATCACGTCTAGGGGTCAATAAAGATCCACTGGTTTTTGGGTCTAATTGCAAGAGACTGGATGCTACTTGCTTTGTTGAGCTTGGAACGTCCTGGCGCCTAACACCGGGGTCCTGTCCAGACTCTCCCTGTGTCGTTGGTCTCGACATGACGGCACCGTCACCTGGGCAAACGGGGTCCTACTAGGACCATCCTGGAGCTGGGGGTCCTGGCTGGACTACCCCACCAGGACCATCCCCCCACACGGCTGCCGGCTGCCGCACCCCGAACTGCTCTCTCACGACCCGGACTCACGGGCGTGGTGTCGGAGACGTGAAATTGGACAGGTCAGTCTTCCCATGCCACCATGCCACTGTCAGACGGGAGAAGAAAGAAACGGATTCTACACTCAATATTACTCAATCACATCAATAATATGAAGAGCATTTAAGAGAGTCAAACGAATAGTATAGCACATAAATGCAGTATAGATTAAACTTGAAATCCCCTGAGGCCCTGATGGTTATCCTTTCGGCGTTTTCTTGTTTCACCGTTTTCGCTGTCCAAGACGCCGAGTACTTGATGCAAAAGCTGCGCCGGGTATGGGACTCGAGTTGTACGCGCGTACTTGCTTCAGCCGCATGAATCAGACTCCGTCTCGGGTGGCAAAACTGAGATGATGCCCAGGTGATAAGATCGGTGCTGAGATGATGCCGGCGGAGGCGGGGATATGCCCGTTGGAGACGGATTTGCTACCATTCAGTCGACCAGCAGCCACAGTCATCGATCCGACAAACAAGGTATTTAATACACAGGGAGTGATCAGAAGTCCGAAGCTAGGGGAGGTTGCGCCTAATCACGTGGTGTTTCATTTGAGTGGTTGACTCAGTGCCTTTTGCTTGCGCCTAATTACGTAGAATATAGGTTTTCAACAGGTGCAAAGGGCTACATGTAGAAGTTGGGGTGCCCTGCTTTCCTATGCCACCCAGGTTGTGGTTGTGGTTGTCGTAAAATCCAAGTTTGCCACAAGTCGAAGATGAGGAGACCTTGGATGACATACTTGAATGGCCTGCCGATTGCAATCTGGATTTGGAGACACTGTGCAGTCGCACGTTCACTCATGCGGTCGTTTTCATTTGCAGGTTCGAATCCAATTCCATGGGTAGCTTTCTTCCAGCTTTTCAATTGCAATAAACGCGATCATGTGTTCCGCGTTTTGACATCCTTCGCAGGTCATGCAGGATGTCTACGTTGCTACAGCCTCAGAAAGAAGGGCCCCCGAAATTGAATACCTTTGGCTCGTCTAGTGAAAGAAAGTGAAAGAGTTTGTTCCCCCCCACCCTATATGTGTTGGCCAAGTTGGCAACATGTTGGACGTAGAATTGCAATACGGAATCCATTTGCCATTAAACCAATTCCCTATGGCCCTATGACACATGCAAATGATTCCCTGCAAGAGTCTTGGAGTAAGGAACTAACGTCCATGATGTTTGTTTCCATTTTCCATTGCACTTACAGTGGTTCTAGAATAGATGACACAATCCTCAAAAGGTGGTTTATATGGACCCTATGGAGAACATCTTGGCGTTTGTGCCATCGAACCTCTGAAACCTTTTCAGTCAAAACCTCAGCTCTCAGGTGCCTTTGTTGTCCTGGTGGAGCTGCACGTTGGGCTGCTCAGGGGGGAATGTGTTGGGCAGTAGTGTACAGATATTGATTGGTGTCCCCACCTTGATCGCCTTGCCCATTGTGACAAGGCCTTTGCCCTTCTCATGTCCAGCAGCACGCTCCCCCTCCTCTCCCGTGCTGCTCCGGTGTTCGATGCTCTGGGATCGATGCCCGGGGGTCGGGACGCGTGTTCCGTCGCGGTTTGGGCACCACCTTCCGTCGCGCGGGTCAGGTACCGGGACGAAACCAGGTCATGGGATGCCTCAGACTGATGTGGCCCGACCAGGTACCACATGTTCGAGACACGAGCAGTACTTGATAGCAACTCTAGAACTTGTTTGCTGACGACCGCCCAGGCGAAAATCATGCTCAGCTTGGAGACTTGACCGAACATAGACATATTGCATTGACATATACTGACTTCGCTTGATTTGGAGTTCGGGTGCCAAATCGCCGCCCACCTCAAGTAACTATATATGTGTTTGGCTCCGAGGAACAGGGCGCTTCGTCCCGCCCAAAAGCACCAGGAACGTCCCAGTCGCTTCGCCGCTTGGCCCGGTCCGACAGGTTCTGCGAAGGGGATCCGCGGCCCGACGACGTGCGCTACGACTCCTTCTGCAAGCCGCTGGGCGAGCGCGCTTGAGCCGCCGCGGTCGGGTAGGACGGTCGGACGTCGAGTAGGTCGAGAGACGGTCGGGTTTTGGAGAGACGGTCGGGAATATGGTCAATGGTAGGGTCCTGAGAGTGTCAGAAGAGCGGAGGTTGTTAGAGACGTGCAGGATGGTGCAGGTCCAAAAGGTGTAGCCCTGAAAAAAAGGAACTGCGTTCCGGGAGGTTTCACTTCTTTTTTAGACACACCACAAGTTCCCATGTCGGAAGGTTAGGGCCAGGATGGGCCAGGGTGCTAAACACCACCCCTTTTTGATTCCTGGCACTCACACCAGGAGCCACATGGAGTTGGGTGGTGCTTGGTCCGATCCAGTGAGTGGAGTAGCTGGGCACCCCTATCCTCCAAGTTCAGCTCTCCTTTCTAACTCCTGACCCTATGAGTCAGAACTGCATTTTAAAACAATGCCCGGTTTACAGGAAAACCACATGTGAAACACAGATGTGAACCATTTTCACACTCAGGGTGGCGTATGTTCTTCCGGCTTCGGACCGATGACCGAGTCACTGAGGTGGCCGATGGGTGAGGACCGTTTGGACCGACCGTTTGGACCGGGAGGGCTGTCAGTATCGTTTTTTTTCCGCTGGGAATTGGGCCTGAAGAATTGAAGAGAACACTAAGCTTACTGTTTTTCTTTTGTGCAGTATGCATGCCAAAGCCGCCTAAGGCTGTGGGCGGTGTTCGAAGAGGCTTAGACCATGCGTTTCAGATTCTTCGGGGTTGAAGTATGTTGAAGTGTTGGGTCGCACTCGACTCTTAGGCACGGTCAGTTTATCCCGGCCGCTGTGTCACGATAATCAGATGGGGACGGGGCAGACGGGGCGAGGAGGGTGCTCACAAGTACTTCCTCCAGTGGAATGACTACTTTGTGCAGCGGATCCAAAAGCAACAGGCCATGGGAAATCGGACTGTCCAGGCAGCAAGAAGATCGTAATGAGAGGTGTGATTGAGGTGAGAGTGTGGCAGGTAATTTCATGTTTGATCTTATATGAATAGTGAATTGGTGCACATCCCCCCCTGCACAGGGAGAGTGGATAGAGACAGGCCAACCAAAAGTATTCTCGAGTAGCAGCAGCAGCAGCAGCAGCAGCAGCAGCAGCAGCAGCAGGCAGGACCTTGATCTGTACCCGTACATTTCGATGAGTTCAAATTTAGGCTAGGCGTTGAAAAGGGCAGAATCCATGAACCAAGCAAGGCTTGGCAAAGCTTCACCAGAGGTCAAGTAAGGATTTGAAAGGGAAGCCATAGCTGAACAATAGAAAACTAAGCTCAGATAGTTTTGCCAGGCCAGTTCTTGCATGATCCTCATCCCCAAAACAAACCATAGAGGTGGACTGGTGGCGGCGGCGATGGTGATGATGGTAGTTGATTATCTGAAACCAAGTCTCGGCCCGAGTCCTTACAGGGGTAGACTTAGACGGCGGAAGTCGGGCGGATGGTG